ACGGTGAGGAAGCTAGTGCTGCGCCCCCCCCCCCCCAGTCTTCGAGCTGTTGGCCAGGGTCTCCTAAAGCAGATGGTCTGGAATGAAGACACTCAATATGACCTAATATGTCTCATTACACACTTACACAATAATATACTGAAGCAGTGAACTATTTTCCATTTAAATAGGCTGCAAAGGTCTCTTTCTTAATGAATATCTTGGTCTTGTTGAGTAAAAGTACCTAAACATCATTACACCAAGATGAATCTAACTGAGAATAAAATTGCTTGTTTTAAAACTTAATATGAAAAGGCATTCATTCGCAAACCTATTTTGTGTCCATAATGTCACAAATTTACGAGCGAAACAGGATATTTGAAACAAAATATACGTGGGATGAGACTTGATGTTATCTATTGGGAAATTATTAGATTGTAGTGAACAATTCATACCAGGATGGAGAAAAAATAATGTTAACATTAACCAATAGCCTATTTGAGTATTTTCAGGAACGGAAAAAAGTTATTTTAATTAGCTCATTCAATTTCCAGAACATTTCCTTTCACTGTTCCTTGCTGGTGGAATGATCTTCCTAACCATATCCAGTCATACAAATCCCTGACAATTTTCCAGAAACAACTGAAACTTGAGAGAAACTTTCAGCATTGCGAGATATAAACTCAGAATTGAGGCATGTTAATTCGCAATCGCAATTCTGAGAAGAAAAGTCAGAATTGTGAGATATAAACTCAGAATTGCAAGGAAAAAAAAAGTGAGATAAAAAGTCACAATTACTCTTTTTATTTTTTATTCTACGGGCTTCCATACTTAACTGCATCCTGCTGACTTTAAAAAATATATATTATTTTCGTTCACTATTATATCCATCCTTCTTCTAACTTTACTATTCTGGACACTGTTTGAACATGCTATTGCTAACACTTCTTGTGGTATTGCCTCCTTATGACAAATCATTGTATTCCTCATTTGTAAGTCATATTAGATAAAAGCATCTGCTAAATGAATTAATGTAAATTAAAGATTACAAAAGACATTTTCTTTGGAAAAATGTGCACTGGTAAATCATACCCAATAAGACCAGAAACATGTGTTAAGAGGGTACATTTTTTTTATTTTAATAACCCATAAATCGCAATATGTTGATTATTTATATTTTTCTGGCAGCAATTTTTGCTGTGAATCTTCACAGCTAACACACTTCTGACTTAAGCTGTCATGCTTACACCGCTTTAAATATGCAAGGCTTGTTAATATTTGGGTAATGATCTTAATTTAAATTCTTCCGTGTCACAAGTCTGCATCAGGCACTGCAATCGACCCGGCCTGTGAAGGCGAGGACAAGAAATAGAGGTGAGAGATAGTGCAAGAAAAGGAGAGGGAGAGTCTGCATCTAAAAAGCTCATGCAACTCTGAACTGTACTGATGTGAAAAACAGATGTAGGCGATGATCTGGTATAGGCTATCACACTACACTCAATTCACTGTCTCCTTTTAGCCCTATTCTGTGCCAGAGGGTGTCATCAGATAATGTGGGCAGAAAATCCATAAGCAGGAGCCTCTGACACGGGACTAAATTGAGTCAGAATGTGTTTTTATGCTTAGTCAGTTGGTTTAAGTAATTAAGTTTCGATATCAGTCGAACTTCCTCAAGCAATGGTTTTTGATCTTAAAGAGGACTGCTTATTCGCCAGCCAGTGATAATTAATTTAACACACGCACAGAGGCTGAAAGAAGACATTACAATAATCTTATCCACATGCATTTCACATTTTTCCCCATCCAAACTGTGAATCTCATTGCTCCAGCCCTGAACAGCAGACAACAGATTTAAAAATACAACATTCATAGCAACAGTGATAATGCAAAGACTGAATTCCCACATCATATCACATCACAGTCTGACTTCTGACTTGAGTATGATCCCGACTGGTGCATTGGAATAATGTAGGTCTGCCATTAACCACCCTCAGCAACGTTAAAAAAAATATACTCATTATCATTTCACATAGAATGCAAAATCCTCTATTTCTTTATCAAGTAAGAGTTCCGATCCAAAAAGAAGCATCATTATAATCATTTCTGGTTGCATTACGCCAAACCAAAAACAACTGCGGAGCATGCCACGGAGGCAGCCATCAGCGTCGGCGCCATCGTTAGAATATCGACTACTGACTACATCAGTAGTCAATCTGAATTACATTTAATCTGAATCTAATTGCAGTATAATTATCGGTTTTAGCTCATTACCATTACTCAAAAGTAAACTCAAATAAGAGCGAAGCTTTATGGGCCTCTGCCAATCTATTTCACACCACAGAAATGCCACAAATTGTTCCAATTCAAGGACTTTAGAAAACGGAAACTGTTAAGTTATTTAGGTGCTAACAAACAGTTTTTGGCCCTCTGTCAGCAGTTGGTAACTATATTCAGTTGCAAATAATAACAAACATTGACAAACAAATAATTCAAAACACATTTCCCTTATATAAATTCCTTGCCTATAGCCCAGAAAGGTGACATTAGGTGAAGGACGAGCATTGTGACTTATTTCGTTTTTTCAGTCTGCTTGTGTTGTCCACCGCTCTCGATGGAGGTAAACACCGTTAACCGACACAGACTCTCAACCCGGAGGAAAACTCAGGGTCAAATGGCATTTACAGAGCAAGAGTCCTAAGAAACCCTATGAATAATGTATAAAACCTAGCGTTGTTTCCTTTTCTACTGTGCAGAACTTACATGGTGCGTGATCAGACTCATAAGGAGCGCAAACGTACACTTCATCAATTGATGTCATCGAGTGGCCGGAGAGACGTACAAAATTTGTCACAGGCCAAAAGTTTACAAGTTGGCACCGCACCAGTTTTCCTGAATTCCCCATCGCCGTGATGGAAAAGTTAATTAGCTCATTCAATTATGTAATAGAGCAATCTTGGCGGAGCCTGTAATTGCCAGACCTTAGCGTTCCAAGCAAAAGCTCTTTCCATTGCTTTAAAAGCTTCTCTGGACTAATGAAGTCTGGAGAAGTGACTTCATACTGTACTTGGCTATGCATACACAGAGAGACATGCTTCTCTATCATACACCCAGTTTCTACAGCAGCTCCTGATGTTGTCCAACCAGAGGCCACAGAAAACTCTTTTTGCAGTGGCAAAACAGGGAAATTCAGTACTCTATGCTTTATGATCAATGGGTTTGTAGCGCTCTCACAAAGACCCAGTGAGTGAGTCACTGCTGCGACAGCCTCTCCATACTACAAAAGCCACTGCACTCCATCACACATTGTTACAGCACATCATGTAGGTGTACGCTTTTGTATTACATAGTTGACTCATTAGATCTGACAATGTGATGCCGATCGGTATTATGGTACAAAGTTTCAAGTCAAGGCATCGAAACTTCCATGCAGCCTTCTGACTGACACCTCCCAACTTTTTATTTTTTACAGGTGTTTCATTTAACCTGTCTCTGGCAATTTCCAGTGCCAATTACAGACAAATTTAGATTGCAAAAACTATTGTTAATGCCAAAACATCCATTAATGTTATTAAAGCATGTGAAGACGTTTATACAAACCTATCTAACATGCTTTCTAAACTAGCCCATCTGGTCCAGATGGCCTCAAGGTTTGACATCTGCAAGGCTGATAAAACTCTTTGCTTCCTCCAGACCTCCACAGGCTATATCTGGGTCAATGACATGATGCATCTATTAAATTATAAAATGATACATTATAATGCAAACCATAAAAAAATATTTTCTAAAATAAATATGGCTTCAAATTCTGAAGGTAAGTTATTTTAATATTTAGTTGTGGTGCTTAAAGTAAAAAATGTTTAGGTGGTGTAACTACATGGAGGTATTTTATATATGAAATATGGGCCCCACTTTATATTAAGTGGCCTTAACTACTATGTACTTGCAAAAATATATAAGTACAATGTAAACACATGTATGTACACAATAAGTGCATTGCACCAAATTATTAATTTAAATGTAAGTGCATAGTTGTTAAGGCCACTTAATATAAAGTGGGTCCGAAATATGAAAATGTGTTGGTGTGTGTGTGTAGAATTAAGTATATATTAAATTCTCTCTCTCTCTCTCTCTATATATATATATATATATATATATACACACACACACACACACACACACACACACACAAACATACATATATTTTAATATTAATATCTATAAAAATATTATCCCCCAAATCAAAGTCAGCGTGGCATAGCCAACATGCAGCCTTTTTTGTCATGTGACAAGAAAACTATATATATATATATATATATATATATATATATATAAACATTGTTCATGTAAAAAAGGTTTAGCTCAAATGTTTAAAAACATGTTACTTTTTTTATATCTATATATAAAAGTTTATTAACTTGTCACATGCGTTTTTTTAAAAGATTTCTCCCCCTTATCTAGTACATGCTTATGCCATTGACCCATCTTCTAATATCTCACTTCTGTAGCGGCAAGTGACCAAGAGAGTCAATATGTGAGACAGACTGAAATATTATTCACCATTAAAATATTCTCATTGCGAGGAAGCCCACCTATCCAACTTGTAAACATTTTTTCCCCAGTAAACCTTAATAGAAACATTCAGTCCTGACGATTAGCATATGAATCAGTGATATGCATTCACTCCAAGAGGCGTTGATATACAACAGTAAAACCTGTTGTTTAGAACAAAGTGATGGGCAGAACTTCCCACTGCTATATTCACAGAGCAATGCAGAAATACGCCATATAAGCACAGAAAAGTCTGATTTGCCAAAGTGCCGCACAACTGGTCGATATGTATGTTGAAGCCATTATCTTCTAAATGTCTCACAAACATCGTGCCTACCTCTATTATTACGTGGAAACCAACAAATATCGCTATGATATCAACAAATCAACATCGACGAAATAAATCGAGCGACGCTTTCCCCGCAAGGAATCCGTGAGAGATGTTCAAAGTTGACCCATTTCCATGCACTTACCTTCTTCTATCTGCCGCCGCTGTTGCCAAACACCTCCAGTATGATCACGTAAACACAGTCGACTGCAGATTTTTGGGTATCTCGTTAATCACTTGATGTACGATGGCCCCCAATACGACAAACTCCATTCCCCACGTACGGAAATCACACGCAAATCTCCCAAAGCGCGATGCCAAGTGGGAAAAGCTGTTGCGCTGTCCAGTGAAAGTGGTGCTGAAACGCTCTCGGAGCCGAAGTACTTTCCATTTCTCCAGGTCTCTGTGTCCATTAATTCAATATTGGCAAATATTGTTCGTCTTGTGTTAGGAGCTCATACCTGAAGAGATAGTACTGCACTGAGCATAACTGGAGAGCAGAGCCGTGCTGAGATGTAGGCAGCGCTCTTCAGTCGAAACAGTGCATTCAACGCCCACATAGCCCACTCTATTTGATCACACACACACAACGCAGAACATACATTGACTGATGAAAGAGCTTTCGTGCAGCTTACTAAGGAAGCCTTAACAAAAAAATATTGATTTCTTTAATAAATATATCTGCATATGCACGATCTTAAAAGCAGATAAGGATGCTTTTAATAAAGCCTACAGCCCTTGTCAAAAATCCTGCAGGAATTCTCATTACCTTACGATATATGGTAAAGATGTATATTTCAAAAGTCAATAAATGGAATTTTACTGTAAAGATTTTATGGTAACAAGTACTGTATAAAAGTGCTTTTTATGAGTAAAAAGTATGAATTACCTTATAATTTATTGATAAAAATATATAGGCATATCTCACACAATAACAAACATTCCCATAATTCCCTGAAGGACAACAAAGGTATTTAAATAGCTCGAATATATGTTGATATAATAACATTCTATAATTTAATATAGAGAACTGTAAAATACACAATCATAACACATTATGTAATGCCTGTGAATATTGTCACTGTAAATTGTTTTACAGTAAAATAATGGCAATCATAGCTGCTATTTTACCATATTTTACTGTAAATAAAAAGACTCTAAAGAACCGAATAAGATGCTACAGAATAAACAATAAAGTTGAGGGGGGAAAAAGCACTTCAGTTTATCCAGTAGGATTTTAATAGATTTTTTTAAAGCAGTCTTGTTTGATCCCATTACTATTGTTTATGTTTGCTTGTTTGTTTGTTTGTTTTTGTTTTGTTTTGTTTTGTTTATTCTTCACTATGGAAAGAAAATTAGTTGAATACACTTTTAAAACCAGTGTAACCAGTGTCCTGGAGACAATTATACATCTTCTTGTACATGCAAGATGTTAAATATAAAGCATAAAGATTCAGGGCATTGATAACCACAGTGCAGTGAGCAAAAGAGGATTTAAAAATACAGAATGTCCCGAAGGATACTTTTTTGGAATGCTAAATATACCCATTTATGCATTGCTGTTTTTTTTTTTGAGGATGCATTTAGTCTCAAAGCACGTCAGTATAAATCTGGACTTGAATAAAAGGTAGGCAACATCTACATTTGGATGGTAGTGTTGTATTTGAGCGTTCTCTCAGGACTTTTCATTATGAATTCTTCATTCTAATATATTCAGATACATGCTTTCAACTTCAGTGTCTTCCAAACAATTTCCCCAGGGGATTATGATAACAAAATGACTAATGTATTCTGCACAATACACTGATACCTTTCTAGTGTTAACCTATACAACTTGTTGTTCGTGTTGTTCTTAAAAAGTCAAAATGACATTAAACCCTCTTCACAAGTACAATGTATTAGTTGTTTGCTGATAATTTTTTATTTAAATTTATTCATTGAAACTAATGTAAAGTCATTTCTAAAAGTCGAACTACATCAGCGGACACCGAGCAAGAGTTGCAGACCTTTCTTTCAGAAATGATCATGATGGTGTGACAAAATTATATTCAGATCAGATTTATATATCGTTTTACAGTATATATA